GCAATCAATCTGCGTTTATCTAGCTAGGTATCTTACCTGGTAAGCAGCATATTCTGCTACCCAGAAAAATATTTAACACCTTTATGGTATAATTACACCTAGCCGCAGGATCACAGCTAATGTTTGAATCCTAAAGACCATGATATAGGAAGCCTAGCTTAGCTAACTAGACATGCATAATGTTTACGTTCGCATATATTTATGGGTTCACCACACCACGAAGTGGTGGTGAACCCATATTGCTTTTTCTGATGTTTCTTCTCCTCCTTCTCCTTCTCCTTCTCCTCCTTCTTCTCCTGCCATTTTTTAAATGGATTCAGCTTCTTCATTTTAGGGCCTAAGGTCCTGAAATTTGGTATGGAGGTACAGTGGGCAAATACCCCTAGGCATTTTTTAAATTTTGTGATACAGGCTTTTAGAATGGTTTTATTTGAGTTTTTTTGGCTGTGTTATATCAAATGTATTACTGTGTTAGTGTGCCGTGTTTACCATGAGTCATCACAATAGAATGCAGGGCATCAACCAATAGGCATGCAGCTTTCCTCTATACTTCTTGCTGATTGGCTGTTGGGATTTAACTTGATTAACACCTGCACAGAGCATTTCCACCTGCACAGAGCATTTCTTGCTGATTGGCTGTTGGGATTTAACTTGATTAACACCTGCACAGAGCATTTCCATACTGACAGTATGTCTTTATTCAAGTGTTTTGGTAGGTATTTCAAGCTTTTCTGCTCCAGCATTGGAATGCGGGGCATGAACGTTTTTTTATTTATTTTGAAAATCAACAGTTTGCATTATGCAATTAAAAATCCTAACCAATAAAGTAGGGAATAGCTATCCAACTGTTGTTTTAGTTGTATGTTACTTCATATTATAGTTATATCAATGTAAATCATTGTTTTCCCTTGTGTTTCTCATTCTTTCCCTGCCATGTCGTAAAATGTGGTGAACCCATCGCTGTATTTGCTCCAAAGCAAATATTGGCCTTTCTATTTTTTCCATATAGAGAGTTGGTGAGGTTCTTATATGGAAAAAAAATGAGATAAGGACGTGTTATCTCATTTTTTTTCCAAGAGGCTTAGTATTGAATTCTTGTATGGGAAAAAAATGAGATAAGGACGTGTTATCTCATTTTTTTTCCAAACAGACTTTGTATTGAGTCTTCTATGGAAAAAAAATGAGATAAGGACATGGTATCTCATTTTTTTCCAAATAGAGATTGAATTCTTGTATGGAAAAAAATGAGACTTTGTATTGAGTCTTCTATGGAAAAAATTATCACGTTTTCCCCTTAGAATAAAAATACGTACTAAATAAATGTGACAAATAATCAAGTCTTATATTCTGCTCTGTTAATTCTCACTCAAACACATAGTGACAGACGTCCGGTTCAGGTCGTTGACCTTATTTGTTTGGGGAAACAGAGCAAGAACAATATGCTTTCCTTCTACAAAGGTAAACATAATAATTGCATACACTTAACTTATCTCAAACAGAAAATGTTCAGCAGACTGAAGATACTTCTCACGCTTCTTCTGCTGATGATCTTGAAGGAAATTGGAGCAGCCACACCGTGTGACTTTCTACATACGCGTACAGAATGTACCTCTGACTGTCGTGAAAAAGGCCTCAAGAGGGTTCCACAAGACCTACCCAAACATGTCAGGCTAATTAGATTAGAGAAAAACGCCATCGCGTCCTTAAATCGGTCCGACTTCTCCAGGTACACGAAATTATCCGGTATTTATTTATCTCGAAATAATATAACTGACATTCAGAATGGGACATTCTCAAGCATACCACAG